TATGCAATTTATTGCAAACTAACAAATCAAAAAGTATATCATTGAAACCTTCAAGATTTGCCATCTTTTGAACGACACTGTTGCTACTACTGCAGATGCGGTAAGGGATTGCTGGATGAGTGAGTTGTATTAATACGAGTCAAGCAATCCCCGTTTCGGCCAAGTCATGTATAGTGCTCTTCTCAAATAATGCGAGGAAATAATAAATGAGTAAAGAGAGGAAGATGTATAATAAAAAAAGTAAAAAAACAAAATTAATTAATATTAAAAGCATAATATTGGATAAATATATTATGATTTTCTATGTTTTTTGTGGTGATATTCGTGATCTCTATACTCCTGTACGCACCGTTTGTCCCTAAAATTAGAGCAATTTGAAACAAACAAAGGTTTGTTATACTTATTTACTGTATCGAAACTAATATCTTTCAATGTTACACATTACGATATATATACGAACACACTTTACTTAGTCCTTACTTGCTAAGAAATTGTCACCCGGAGCCTCGTTTAAAAAATTCAATATGTTCTCTGCAGTAAATGTTTTTGAATTTTTAGTTTTGTAACCAGCAGATTGGCACTTCAGTAGGGACTTCAAGATACTGTATTCCAATGATGACGCTCTGTGTTTAAGTTGGTTTGTACATTTGAGTATGGAATGCGTGGCCCATAATGTTGATGGCTTTTGAGTTTTAGCAAGTTCGCTAAAATAAGCTACAAACACAGTCCATGTAAAGGAATTAGCATTTTTTTCGTTTCTCCATTGCATCAAAGTTTCGTAAGTTTTCATGTATCTTCCTTTGCTCATAGCCGGCAACAAGTTTTCTATCGCTAATATTGCATCGTTTTAAATTAGGACGAGTGCAATCCATTACTGTATTTTCGTTACCGCTCGTCTCACTCATTTTCACGACGAAAATCCAAAAAAAAAAAGAAAAAAAAAAAACAGAAAATAATACCAAAGCAATTTATTTTACCGCCTTTTTCTTTTTGAAGTACCTAAGCGGTATACGTAGGTATTTTTAATTCTCGCAATTAGTAACACTGGACAGTTGACTGTATGAGGTTTTCCTCTACCTGTTTACATGGTTCATCTAGATTTAAAAACTTTGGAAAGTGGACAGCTTAATAGCATAATAGTACAGGACGGGAGGCGCTATCAGCGTTAAGGCCCATTTAGATGGAGAGAGTTTATCGCACAGTTCGTGACGAAAAATCGTACGCGTTTATCGTAAGCAATAATCGCCATGAGATTATCGTAAGCAATAATCGCCATGAGATTATCGTATCATAATGTTTACATTCAGGCAAGACTAAAATCTCGCCTACGATTATGTCATACGAGATTCGCAAATCACCTTCTCGACTGTTTACACAGAGAAATATGTAGTAAGGAGATTCTTGCTTACGAGTTTTCGACTTGTCTAAACACGATCTCGTATGACATTTTTTCAAGTTCATACGATTATCGTACAAACGGTTCGAACCGTTTTCAGTGCGAGTATTGCCATTAGAGTTCAGTGATTACTGCGGTATTGACTATAAATATATCAAAATGACGCAAAAATCATTCAAATTTGGAACTGCTGATAATATTAAGTTCATTCCTCTGTATAGAAATATATATTTTTTTCGGGAGAGGGTCGGGGCGTAGTACTACAAGCAAACAGGTACACTCAAATACAATATTGAGTTGTGTCACTATAGTCTCACACTAAGAAAAATCGACAACACTAGCTTATTTTTACAAATACACAGATAAAACACACACATTCATGTCATGTCCGTACACAGAATAGGCCTGTAAGAATAAATCGATTCTCATGAATATGCTACAGACGGAAAGTTATCGACGTGACGGTATCGATATTTATTACGTACTGGTTAATCACGTATGTAATTCCAATCTTGGCTAGACAAGATGTAGAGGATTTCTTTTTGCAATTTTGTGAGTAGTGTAACAGTGGTATTGTTTTACCTGTATTTGCCAGAAGAGATGCCCGGATATTTTCCGGCTTTTTGCGGTCAGCCTATGCTATGCGGCCTATGCGGAGCCAATGACAAGCATGGCCGGAGTTAACCTACACAAACATAGTGACATGTATAGAAATATAAAAAAAAAACTAAAACATTTAAGTTAAATTGTAAAGTCATTGCAGTATTGCTTAATTTTATTTGCCACAATTTAAAGGCCCAAAAGTTATCCATATTCTGCTTCTACTGGAAATAACAAAATGCACCATATTCAGCTTCTAGTGAAAACTACTTGAATACAAGAGTGATGGAGTAGTCTTAATGTCAATATTAATTAATTTTATAGCATTATGTTGAATGTTATACGAATTCACTTCAAGTAATGAGAGTTGTGTAGGTACATAGGTACAAATATTATAAATGTGTCTCTCTGTCGTGCTGTAAGAAATGAATCGAATTCCAATTTCTAGATTCCAACTAAACGTAAACTCAAAGTTTCATAATTTCGAAAACCGATTTATACTGTTATGCTTTCAGGGAATTTTGGCTTACAAAGAAAAGATTAAGTTACTTTGTTTTGTAATATTCCTAAAATAATCGAAAAAAAAATACATTTAGGATTACAAAAATTTGAGCAAATATTATTTCGAGCAAATGTGTTTTCGAACTTCTGATTGATAACTCCAAACAATAAAACGAATACTAATAATTTAATAATAATATTTTGTTAGTTATTTATTACTAACATTTAATAAAAAGTCATTTTAAAAATAATATTAATATTAAATCAACTCCACATATAGTTTCTTTGTTCTAAATCTAAATATTTCAATCGATTGTGGTTCGAAAATTGAAATTGATGTAAATTGTCTCTTTTTGTCTTTTGCGCATATCTTGTGTAGGATAAGGACAGTTAGCTATTTGGTTATTTTGATTGCTTTTGTAATTTATGTGTATTGTATGTAAGTATGTACTGGAATATGTACTTTTTATTTTTCTTTTTTTTCTACAGTACAGCATGATCTATGACAATTACAATTTATTTTCATGTTATTTAAATACAATACGACGCAGAAATCAATTTGAATAAACTTGACTTACATAATCTGTCGATAAAAATAGATGCTAAAAGAGCGCGTCGCTTCTCTATAACGAAAAAACAGCGTCCATGAAGCACTGCATTTTTTTGTCTATGGTTGCCTGTTAGTAAATAGGGGAACTTCGTAGGCATGTTTATGTCAAATGTTCGAATGTTTTCAAATATTTTTTATGTAATGTATAAATTGAATCAATGCGATCATTGTGAAAAAAATGTCTTAAAATAGAAAATTTGCAATTAATATATAATAGGCTTATGTGTAGAATGTAATTCCACCCTTGGCTAGAGATTTTTTGCAAGTTTATATAGCGCAAGACGACATGTTTCGTGGAATACTTAACGCGGTGAATTCGATAATGGAAATGAAAAAACATCGATTCGAAAGTAGTGTTTATTGTCCGATGGTTCTTTTTTGCTTTTACCTTGACAGAGAGGACTGCCTATCGATTCCGCTTCCATTCCTATATGCTCTAAGGTGGACCGTAATGGATTTTCATACTTACTTTGCTGGCCTTGGCCGGGAAGAAGTCTCACGGTCCATAAATTACTAACTTCTCGTGTCGTTTTTTGAAAGTAATGTAAACATTTCCGAGCATGTTTGAGAAAATGAATTTTAATCAAACATTCCTAAAATTTAGTTTCAATAGTTTTGCATTTATATTTTACACTTCTTATTTGGTGTGACATACCTACCTTAAATTTTCGAATTTCAGTACCTTTATATATTTTTTTCTTATCTAATTGTCGCCATCTATAGTTTTAAATATGTACTAAAGTAAATTTGTATGAATTGATACCCCATGGCTCAACTTACTTCTCGATACATTTAGCGTAGAAAATGTAACAAACTCGAAATCCATCTCTTGTAGGAATGTACCATGTAACATGTACAATATCAGGCAACTCTATGGTGTAAATGATACTTTATACAATTACAAAAGGCAATTTTGTCGAGGTTCGAAAGAAGAGCGTGCTATTGATCCAAATGTCAACTGGAAACGAATGATCTTCTCAATATGAAATTACAGGCGGAAATCGTAAAGTCGAGTTTAACTGGTGAATGGGAAAACCTGAATAGCACTGTTGAAGGTTGGCTATCACGTTGGACCCAAACACGCTCGCGTCTGGAAGAAACTCACGGTGTGCTGTACCTGGAAATGGCCAACAGATGTCGCCTCGTGTTCGAAGCGCATGAGCAATGGAATAAATTTATTGCTGAGAGGGATGAGCTGATGTAAGTAAAATTTATTGCTTACGGCATAGTTTCCCACAGTGGTCCCTACGGGCCCCCAGTGGACGCACGCACGCACGCACGCACGCACGCACGCACGCACGCACGCACG